CGGGACGGGGGGGTCACAGCCACCACTGAGCACCCAGCACTGCGGGACGGGGGGGTCACAGCCACCACTGAGCACCCAGCACTGCGGGACGGGGGTCACAGCCACCACCAAGCGCCCAGCACTGCGGGAGGGAAGGTGTCCCAGTCACCACCGAGCACCCAGCCCTGTGGAGGTGGCAGCCCTGGGGCTTGAACTCGGGGCCTGGGTGCTGTCCCTGAGCTCAAGGCTGGCGCTCTCCACCTGAGCCACAGCCCCACGGGTGGCTTTTTGGTGGCTCATCAGAGATGAGTGTCTTGCAGACTTTCCTGCTTGGGCTGCCTCCGAACCTGAGCCTCCGATCTCAGCCTCCTGAGGATGAGGGATCACGGGTGTGGGCCGTGGAGGGAGCCCTGCGGGAGGGTCTCTAGAGCAATAGTGGCAGTGGGTTTTCCGCTGAGCCTCAGGGTCAGGGCAGGCTTGTGCCTTGCCTGAGGCCCAGCTAGACTTGGCCCAGAGCGTGATGACATGTGCGCTTGCGTGGGCGCCACGTCCAATCAAACATCTCTCTCTTTGTCTTAGGTCGTCAAGCCTCTGGGAGCAGCCTCAGAAGATGAAGTAAATATTACCATTGTCTCTCTTTTTTGTCGGTCGTGGACTTGAACTCAGGGCCTGGGCACTGTCCCTCAGCTCTTCAGCTCAAGGCTGGCGCTCTACCCCTTGAGCCACAGCGCCACGTCTGGTTTTCTGGTGGTTCATTGGAGATCAGAGTCTCACGGCCTTTCCTGCCCGGGCTGGCTTTGAACCACGATCCTCAGATCTCAGCCTCCTGAGTAGCTGGGATTACAGGCGTGAGCCACTGACCCCTGCCTACCATGGTCTCTTTACTGCCCTGTTTTCTTCCTTTCATTTCTGGGACTTGAACTCAGGGCCTAGGCCCTGTCCCTGGGCTTTTTTTTTTTTAATTTAAGGCTGGTGCTCTACCATTTGAGGCACAGCTCCACTTCCAGCTTTTTGGTGGTTTATTGGAGATGAGTGGCTCGTGGATTTTTCCTGCCCAGGCTGGCTTTGAACCCTGATCCTTGGATCTCAGCTTTCTGAGTAGCTGCGATTACAGGCGTGCGCACCACCAGGCGTAGCTTCTCTGTCCCATATTTCCTCTTATTCTCTCTGAGTTTTGATTTTTTAACTTTTAGACTTAATTTGCCCCTATTTCAATCTTTGGACTCTTCATACCAAGTAAGATTTGCCTTCTAGCATTCTTGGGTTTTTTGTTTTGTTTTGTGTGTCAGTCCTGGGACTTGAACTCAGAGCCTTGTGCTTTTTAACTTAGCGTTTTCCCTTACATTGGCCCTCGACCGCTTGAGCCACGCCCCAGGTCCAGTGTTTTAGCTGGCTAGTCAGCGATAATCTTTCGGGCTTTCCTGCCCAGGTTGGCTTTGAACTGTGATCCTCAGATGGCAGCTTCTTGAGTAGCCGGGATTACAGGTGTGAGCCACTGTGCCTGGAACCTTACTACTATTTTCTCCCTGCGTCGGTTTGATCTGACAGTTCTACCTTCACTCAGGGGAAGCCTGTGGGGTTTTTTTGGGGGGGGAAAGGGGCGGTTCCTGTTGACCCCAAAGGTGCATGTCATCTCTCTCGTGGCAGCTGGTGGCTGAATTCCTACAGGACCAAAATGCACCCCTCGTGTCTAGAGCCCCTCAGACTTTCAAGATGGACGACCTGTTGGCCGAGATGCAGGAAATGGAGCAGTGTAGTTTGCGCCAAGCCCCACAGAGAGGTGAGTCCAAGGGTCATCGGGGTGCCCGGACCAGCCGGGGACTTATTTACTTAGTTCCCCAGTCCTGGGGTTTCAACTCAGGGGCCTGGAAGTCTGACTTGGCTTTTCCCGCTCAAGGCTTAGTGCTCTGCTCTTAGAGCCACGCCTCCCCTGCCAGCCTTTTGCTGGTTCAGTGGAGATGAGAGTCTCCTGGACTTGTGTGTCCTGACTAGCTTTGATTGTGTGTCTCAGATCACGGTCTTCTGAGTAGCCGGGACTACAGGCATGCGCTACTACGCCCGGCTGACAATCAAGCAGGTGTCTGTGGGCACTTAGTGTTTCTTAGGCACAATGGACAGATACATAATTGACTTTCTTCTGTCTTAGTTCTCTCTCTCTCTCTCTTTTTTAATAAGCTCCCGGAGTGGCTGATTTAGCCTTGTCTGAAAATTGGGCCCAGGAGTTTCTCGCCGCTGGCGATGCTGTGGATGTGAGTCAAGATTATAACGAGTCTGACTGGTCTCAAGAATTCACCAACGAAGGATCAGGTGAGTGCGGGCTGGCGCTCGCCCGCGCGTCTTAGGGGAAACCAACGTTCCTCCTGTTTCCCTGGCTCTTAGGATGGAGGTGATATTGCTTAAGACATTTCCAGCTCCTTGATTTCTGAGTTTTGTTTTGGCGCCAATCCTGGGGCTTGAACTCGGGGCCTGGATGCTGACCCCTGAGCTTTTTCCCTTGAGGCTGGCGCTCTGCCATTTGAGGCCCAGCTCCACTTTTGCTGGTTCATTGGACACAAGAGTCTTACAGATTTTTCCTGCCCCAGGCTGGCTTTGAACCGTGAGCCTTCGATTTCAACCTCTTGAGTTGCTGGGATTACAGGCGTGAGCTACTGTACGTAGCCAATGTCCTCTCTGGGTGGCTCCTATGCGCATGGTGGCTGTCAGCCTTGATTCTTCTCCTCCCTGAGCTTGTCTGGCTGGGATGGGGGGGGGAGGGTCTGTCCTCTGCAGTTATTCTGCTTGTTACAAAGAGAAGCATTGTTTGTCTTTGGTCCACTGTAAGAAATCCGGAGGAACAAGAGATACAAATTGCACGACTGGCTTACGAACGCTCATTCCAAACGCTGGCAAGGCCCCAGGGTCTCCATTCCTCAGTTTCTCTGAGCTGATTCTAGGACCCCTCCTCATTTGTCTCTTCCTGTTTTTATTCTCAAGGACCCCCCCCACATCTGACAACCCCCACCCCACCTTTCATAAATGCTACGGGGTGAAAAATCTCATTCATTTCAGTTGGGTACTGTAGCTCACACCTGTAATCCCAGCTACTCAGAAGGCTGAGAGCTGAGGATCGCAGTTCCAAGCCAGCCTGGGCAGGAAGGTTCTTGAGGCTCTTATTTCCAGTAAACTACCAAAAAAAAGCAGAGATGGAGCTGTGGCCCAAGGGGTAGAGCGCCAGCCTTGAGCTGAAGAGCTGAGGGACAGCGCCCAGGCCCAGAGATCAAGCCCCACGACTGACAGACAAAACTTAGCCATCGCATAGGACATGAAGTGATGTATACAATGCTGGTGGTGATGCCATTTTGGGGTTACACTGCACCCGCGATGTCACGTGACCCGTCATCCCTGCAGTGATAAAATGGCCCAGGATAAACGGATTGCAGCTGGAGATTTCCAACACTGCCCCAGGCACTCAATTCACACAGATTACTATGCGTCTCATGCCTGCTTTGCTGGGCTCCATACCCTTTTGGGGGGGCTAAGGGGGGGGGTACTTGGGTTTGAACATTTGCTAGGCAGGTGCTCTACCACTTGATCCACTCTTCCAGCCCGTTTTTTGCCAGTCCTGGGGCTTGAACTCAGGGCCTGGGTGCTGTCTGTGGGACTGAAGAATTGAACCCAGGGCTTCCTGCATGCCAGGCAAGCGCTCTACCACTGAGCCACCCGCCCAGCTTCTTCCGGCCTTTTTAAAACTTGAGTTATTTTTCCAGTGGGGTCTGGAAGTTTTTGCCTAGGTCTGGCTTCGAGCCTCAATCCTCTTGTCTCCTCCCTGGGTAGCAGGGATTACAGGTGCACCCTACCACGTGCACCTGCTGGCTGAGATAGGGTCTTGCTAAGTTTTTAACCTAAGCTGGCCTCAAACTTTGGGCCTCCTGAGTTTTGCCTCTCAAATCCGGGATTACAGGCATGTATGACTACACCTGATGGTGCCATTCCTTAACAAGTATTCCTCTAAGACCGAGAGATCTTCCATTGCTCGTTGCTGGTGAAATCGTCCTTAATCCAGAAGCGAAAAATGTGTTTGCGAGTTCGTTGTACTTCTCTTCTACTTTTTTTTTAAGCGCTGGTCCTGGGTTTGAACTCAGGGCCTGGGTGCTGTCCCTGAGCTATTTTTTGCTCAAGACTAATGCTCTGATCACTTGAGCCACTGTACACTTCTGGTTTTTAATTTAATGAATCTGGCTTTAAAAACTAAAACACTGGAGCTAAGAGTCTCAAGGACTTTGCTGAGATTACAGGCGTGAGCACCAGTACCCTGCTCTAGATTTTTTTTTTTTTGGTCGATCTTGGGGCTTGAACTCGGGGCCTGGGCGCTGTCCCTCAGCTCTTCAGCTCAAGGCTGGCGCTCTACCACTTGAGCCACAGCGCCACTTCCAGCTTTTTGCTGGAAGATAAAAACTCTCAAGGACTTACTGCTCCGGCTGGCTTTGAACCGCAGTCCTCACATTACAGCCTCCTGAGTCGCTGGCATGGCAGGCGGGAGCCACAGACACTGGACTTGCTCTGGTTTTGTTTTTTGTTGTTCTGATTTTGAGATCGGTATTGAAATGTGGTCAAGTCTCAGCTGAGGGCCGTGGCTGTCAGCTCTTTAATTGAGGATGGCCGCGTTTGTGAACCCCGGGGCACAGAGCAGGGGAGGGAACGCTGAGCCAGCTGCGGCCTCCTTGTGTTTACTTAGGCTTCCAGAACCTTCTTCTGTCTCACAGCTTTTTTGTTGTTGTTCCAGCCAAGTAGGACAAAGTCCTAGAGGTTGAGACGAGAGCCTAGTGCCCTTTGTCACCCGCTGAGGCCATTAGAGACTGCAGGCTGTGGCCTCTTCCAGGGCCTCATTTGTGACAGGAGGCTGGGCGTGGTAGCGCACGCCTGTAATCCCAGAGGTTAACTGCAGCTCAGGATTTTTCCAGGAGGCCGGCTGGGCAGGGTTTGTCTATGGGGGCCGTGTTAGCGCATGCTCCCTGACTGCGCCCCCCCATCTCCTTGCAGACCCCCTGTCAGCCTCCCCTGCCCGCTGGGCCGAGGAGTACCTCCAGCAGTCGGAGGAGAAGCTGTGGCTGGGGGAGCCGGAGGGCTCGGCCGCCTCCGATCGCTGGTAAGGGGCTCGCTGCAGCTCGGCTCCAGCGGCTGCCACCTGCTGGGCGCGGGGCGCAATGGCCGGACGCGCCCGCCGGGCCGCGCGGGCTGGGGCTGGGCCTGGGCTGGGCCCCGTGGGCTGGGGCTGGGCTGGGCCTTGTGGGCTGGGCCGGGCCGCAGGACTGTGCCCCAGGCCTGGCCGTCAGACGCCCCCCTTCCTCCCCGAGGTATGACGAGTACCGCCCCGAGGACGACCTGCAGACGGCGGCCAGCGAATTCGTGGGCAAAGTGGACGACCCCAAGCTGGCCAGCTCCCAGGTGAGCCCCGCCCCCCCAGCTGCGGCCCTGAGATCCATGGGGGGGCAGTCGTGGGGCTTGAACTCGGGGCCTGGGCGCTGTCCTTCAGCTCAAGGCGGGCGCTCTACCACTTGAGCCACAGCGCCACTTCTGGTTTTCTGGTGGTTCCTTGGAGATCAGAGTCTCAGGGCCTTTCCTGCCCAGGCTGGCTTTGAACCGCGATCCTCAGCTCTCAGCCTCCTGAGTAGCTGGGGTGGCAGGCGGGAGCACCAGCGCCTGTCTTACTCTCTCAAATCTTTAGAGGCTGAAATCCTTTTATTTTGGTTCTCTGAATTTTAGTGTGCGTGCATGCGTGCATGCGTGTGCGTGCGTGTGTGTGTGCATGGGTGTGTGTGTGCATGGGTGTGTGTGTTCTGGTATTAAGCCTCAAAGCCTTCCCACTTGGCTTTTTGGAGCCACAGCTGCACTGCGTGCTTTGGGGTTTTTTGTTTCGCTGAAGAGCTGCTCAGCCTTTTCCATTCCCGCGGGCCTCCAATCAGGATCCTCAGCGCTCAGCCTCGCGAGAAGCTAGGCTGACAGGCGGGAGCATCCGCTCGGGCCCTTGGTGCTGTGGGCCGGGTGAGCAGGTGCCAGGAGGTCAGGGCCGGGCGCCGGGGGCTGGGCAGCGGGCCCGCGCCACGCGGTGTCCATCTGTGTCTCCGTGCTCCAGTTCCTGAAGTTCGTGCGGCAGATCGGCGAAGGCCAGGTGGCCCTGGAGTCGGTGGCGGGGTCCGGCCGCGTGCAGGCCGAGCAGTGGGCGGCCGAGTTTATGCAGCAGCAGGTAAGATCATGGCTGTGGTGTCTGCCAGTCCCACTTACGAGCTAGCTGGAGTCCCCAGGCCCAGGCTTCCGTGGTCTCCAGCTGGGGAGAGGGGGAGTTTGTGCGGGAGGCTCAGGTCCTGAGTGGAGGCTGCTTTGCCCTGGAGAAGGTTCTGGAAGCGTGGGCAGTGGGGTGAGGATTCACAGGTGGCATCTACTGCTCTTCCTGTTGCAGGCCACCTCTGACGCGTGGGTCGACCAGTTCACCAGGCCAGCGAAGGCCGCAGCAACTCTAGACAAGGAGTTTGAGCAAGCCAAGTCAGCCATAGAGGTGAGAGTCCCCGTGCGGGTGTGGCCTCCTGTAGTCCCCGCTCGGGTCAGAGCAGATGCCCCCAGCTCCACCCGCCCGCCGCGCCAGGGGCCAGAGTCGCACAGGCCCTGGGCAGGGTACCGCAGCTCCTGCCTGCCATCCCAGCTCCTCAGGAGGCTGAGGCGTGAGGATCACAGTTCAAAGCCAGCCCAGGGCAGGAAAGTCCATGAGACTCTGATCTCCCATGAACCACCAGAAAAAAAGCCAGGAGTGGCGCTGTGGCGCGCCAGCCTTGAACAAAAAGCTCAGGGACAGCGCCCAGGCCCTGAGTTCAAGCCCCAGGGCCAGCCTAAAAAGAACCAGCAACAAAGACAGTGCATTCCCAGAGTTCTTAAGTGACCAAATGGGAGTGTGGGAAATCGCGTTTCCTTCCATTTCTGAACACACTGAAGAGCTGCAGTGGGGGGCGGTGGCATTGGTTTTTTTTTTTTTTTAATCTTATTTTGTGTGTGTTTTCTGGTGGTTCATTGGAGATCAGAGTCTCAGGGACTTCCCTGCCCGGGCTGGCTTTGAACCGTGATCCTCCGATCTCAGCCTCCCGAGTAGCTGGGATGGCAGGCGGGAGCCACCGCGCTCGGCTCACCGTGATATTTCTATCCATGCCTCTAATGTACTTTGAGCAGATTCATTTTTTTCTGCACTTACTTTCTCCCACCTTATTTCCTTATTTGCAAACCATCTTCAGAAGAGTTAATTTTCTTTTCTCCCTCTGGTCCTGGGGCTTGCACTCGGGGCCTGGACGCTGCCCCTGAGCATTTCTCCACTTGTTTCCTTTTTTCCGACTGAGTAATATTCCCCATGCACGCATGGCGCGTGCTCTTCCCCTGGCTGTCGGTAGATGGCGCACGGGGCGCATCTGCTGCCCGGCCGCCGTGGGCTTGGCCGGGCCTCGGGGCCTCGGTCTGCAGAACCTCCACTCTCTGCCTCCCTTCCTTGCAGTCGGATGTGGATTTCTGGGACAAGCTGCAGGCCGAGCTTGAGGAGATGAGCAAGCGCGAGGCCGAGTCCCACCCCTGGCTCACAGACTACGACGACCTCACGGCCGCGTCCTATGACAAGGTAGGAGCGCCATTTCCTCCCTGAGCCAGTCCTGGGACTTGAACTCAGGACCTGAGCTTTGTTTTTCCACTGGGGCCCCAGCTCTACTTGGGGCTTTTTGGTGCTGAATTGTGAAGAGTCGCCTGGACTTTCCTGCTGGCTGCAAACAGTGATTCTCCTTGAGTGGCTGGGATTACAGGTGTGCCCCACCACGCCTGGCCTGAATTTGAATTCTTGTTTGTTTTGGTCAGTTGTGGGGCTTGAACTCAGGGCCTGGGCGCTGTCCCTCAGCTCTTCAGCTCAAGGTGGGCGCTCTACCACTTGAGCCACAGCGCCACTCCTAGTTTTCTGAGTGGTTCATTGGAGATCAGAGTCTCATGGACTTTCCTGCCTGGGCTGGCCTCGAACCGTGATCCTCAGATCTCAGCCTCCTGAGTAGCTGGGATGACAGGCGTGAGCCACCGGTGGGTTTGGGTTTTTTTTGAAAGAAAAGAAGTCTGCCTCCTCCTTTGGCTTTCTCTGCTTTGATGGTGAATGGAGCACATGCTTTCTTTGGAGATGAACGGTTAATAACATTACTTTCGTCATGTGTTAATGGTTTGCTGCATAACTGCAGTAAAGGGGGTTTGTGTGTGTGTAGTGCGTTAAGAATACATACACTGAGTGCTGGTCCTCACGCCTGTAATCCCAGCTGCTCAGAAGGCTGAGATCTGAGGATGGCAGTTTGCACTCAGCCCGGGCAGGAAAATCTGTGAGCCTCTTTATCTCCAGCAAACTACCAAAAAGCCAGAAATGGAGCTGTGGCTCAAGGGGTAGAGCGCTAGCCTTGGGAGAAAAAGCTCTGGGCAATGTCCAGGCCCTGAGTTCAAGCCCCGGGGCCCGCACAACGCAGCCAACAAGAAACTGTGGACGGGGAGGCGCTGGTGTCTGGGCCTCGTTTCCGGTTCAGATCAGGGTTTGTAGATGTGGCGGAAATTCCAGTGAGCAAGAATCCGGGCACCAGTGACTTCGTGCATGCATTCATGCACACACGCACACACGCATTCATGCACACACGCACACAGGCCGCCCGTCCAGAGCCTCCAGTGCAGCTCCTTCAGCTCTGGCTTGG